GCGCCGTCCGTGGAAGCAGTGGGTCTGGCAAGGGGAGACCCTTTAGGGACAGGGGGGGTGTTACTGCTCTCTGAACATTTTGCTGTTTGAAATACTCTTGCCGGAGCTTTGTATTTTTATCTTGTGGGGTATCCCGGTTTGTGGCTGTTGTGTTTGCCCGGCCTAGAGGAGTGGTGGGAAGACGTGACGGCTCCTGAGACGATGGAACGCAAACCAGTTTAGGACGTGTTAGTCTCTGTGCAGGATTCAAGCATAGATGGTGGTGGGATGATGAGGTGCCTCTCCAGAGCTGTGCTCCTTCTCACGGTCCTGGTGGTTATCTGCAGCTCTCTCCAAGAAGATGCTTTGGGGAAGTTGGAATGTAAGAAGTCTTGTCTTTGGGGCTTGAAAAAACCCGCAGAGGAGTAAAGGCAGCCTCTCTTGAGGACAGGAGAGAGAGGTACTGAACTGTGAGCCAGCGCTGGCGCCTCAGCCCATGGAGAAGTGTTAATCCGGTCTGAGCAGCAAGGTGCTGAACTGAGTTGTGCTGTCCCAGCTCCCTTCGGGATCCAGGAGCGAGAAAGGCCACTGCTTCCACCACCTGCCTGTCAGCAGATTGCAAAGCCCCGTTCTTAGTGCCTCTCTAGCTCGCAGGGCTGTGTAAATATTAGGCTGTCCTTGTCGGATTAGATTTCCTCTTAATGACTTCCAGCGTTCTGACAAGCTGTGCTTTCTTCCTTGGCAGCCCCGGTGCTGAGCTGAGCCGTCCGACTCTGCTCTCGGAGCCCCCGGGGAAAAGCCCGGTGGCCTGCAGTTGAAGGCCGGGCTGAAATGTTTATTTTCTGCTTTTATAATCCAGGAAGCCCCTTCAGCGCTGCTCTGTCGGAGAGTCCCTGCTGTGGCACTGGGCGCCTGAAGCAAATCTGTCCTGTGCCGGGTGTAGGCATCGGGGTCTGGTGCAGCGAGGCAGCGAGAGCTGCTTAACTCTTCCCTTCCCGCAGGGATTGCACCCGGAGACCTTGCCTTGCTCTTGTCCGTTCAGATGCGCAGCTCGGAGCGTCCTCGCAGGGCTCTGGGCTGCGGTACCGTATCCAGCTCCTCTCTGCTTCTCCACCAGCGCCTGCCAGTGAGCCTGTGCTCATTTTCCTTCTTCTCGGTGGCTCCGCGCTGCCTTCAGCTCAGCACCGCGCAGCCGCAGCAGCAGGACCCCAACCGTTTGGGGTTGATATATTCTCATCAGCAAGAGCGCGTGTGGGGACTGGACAGAGGAGCCCCTTGGTTCAGTTCTTCTCTCTAGCCCTGTATCGCTTTTTCTCCTCTCCTCTGGGTTAATTTGCACTTGTGTTTGCCACACCAGC